CTCTTGTATTTTTAAAAATGGATTTGGGGAGGGGAGGTGGGGGCTGTATGTACGGCTTAGTCGGTTAAGTGTCGGACTCTTGATTTTGGCTCAAGTCATGATCTCATGGTTTGTGAGATAAAGTCCCGAGAAGGGCTCTGCCCTGACAGCGTGGAGCCTGCTTGGGATTCTCCCTTTCACTCTCTCTCTGCACCTTCCCTGCTCATGCATGCTTGCCCTCTCTCTCTTTCTCTAAATGAACATTAAAAAAAAGAAAAAATAAAAATGGATTCTATTTTTTAGAACAGTTTTAGATTTACAGAAAGATTGGAAACATATTAACAGAGAGGTCCCATGCAGTCCCCAGCTTTCCCTATTATTAACATCTTAGTATACTGAGTTTGTTATAGTTGCAAATTTATTTTTTTGAACTAGGCCTTGGAAACATTTTGTCCAAGAGAATAACTTTTTTTGGAATTCTGATTAGAATTGCAATAGATTATAAGTGAAGTTATCCATTCCATCACCCGGCAGCTATATATGGAGTACTTACCGTGTGCCAGGCACTGCTGAAGGTTCTGGGGGTCCTTGTGGAGCTTACTGCCCAGGGGGTCTTTTCTAGTCAGACAGTGACCACATATTATATGTTGACACTGTTTTAAGTCCCTGCCCACGTATATGTCTCTACTTATTCAAATCTGGGTTCTTTTCTTGTGTCTGCTCCTGTGGGTTGGGTCCCAGAGTCCCATTATGCCTGAGGGCCTCCCCTTCCCTCGAAGTGACGGAGGCAGAGGAACCAGGTCAGGTGGCCATGTGTGCTTCCAGTCGAGGGCATCTGGAAAGTCTGAAAGTCCGTGACCCACAGATGCTGGACGTGGATTGGTGGGCAGTGCTGGTTGGCGGCTCTGGCCTCTGAAACTCCTCAGAGGGAACCTTGGGAGTGAGCTGGCTTGAATGAAGGAAATAGAGGAAATTGTTTTTAGGTTTAGAAAGTTATCAAAATGCTGCCAACCAGGCCAGTGCTGCACTGGCCTGCTGCGGTGACTCACTCACTGGCATCGTGGTTCACAACATCTTTTTTTTTTTTGGTAATCTCTACAGCCAACGTGGGGCTTGAATTCACAACCCCAGAGATCAAGAGCCTCTTCTGACTGAACCAGCCAGGCGCCCTATTGTGCAACATTTTGAATTAGCCATCAGTACTGAAAAAAATCAGAGGGTTTTACCCCACGGTTCCTCATGTCCAGCTTTTGTCCTGTTAGGTCTCAGACCGAACATCACTTGCCGTGTATTAGTAGACTTAGGCATCATTTTTCGTTCCGGAGGAATTAGGTGAGAAGTAAAGCGGGACGATTCCTCTGCTCACCTTTCAAGTCTCAGCTGAAACGGCGCTGCCTTGGGGAAGTCTCCCCTCATCTCCTAGACTAAAAAGGTCAGGTCCTGGCTGGCCAGCCCTCCTCACAGTCATCAGATGTGAGTGTAATTTACTTGTTCTGTGGCTGCCTCCCTTGCTAGACTGAGCTTCATGAGGGTAGTCCCCTGTCTCGGCCACACGTTTATCCTCAGCCCCTAGTCCAGTGTCTGGCATGTAGGAGGTGCTTGTTGAATATTCAGGGAATGAATGTGGGAGTCTCATGTCCTCTGCCGTCTTCCTTGTCCCCTGATACGGCATTCTCCTCCCAGGCCTGCAGAATGATCACAAGGCGGTCATGAAGCAGGTGGAGGAAGCCCTGCACCAGCTGCATGCTCGGGACAAGGAGAAGCAGGCCCGGGACATGGCTGAGGCCCACAAAGAGGCCATGAGCCGCAACCTGGACCAGAGCGAGGGCCTCAGCCCCCCTCAGGCCTTCGCCAAAGTGAACAGCATCAGCCCTGGCTCCCCGGCCAGCATCGCGGTAAGCCAGAACCCGGCCACGGAAATCCATAGCCAGAGAGCGCCGTGGGTCAGGTAGCCTTGGGGTGGGGGTGCGGGCCGGGTGGGACTGTGGACACAGACTCGTCATCTCTCCATGCTGCGGCTTCACTTTACCCACTCACTTGGCAAGCACTGGCCAAGGCCTGGGGGCCCGGCCCTGTGCTGGGGCCAGGGTTTCGAGAGGAGTCAGTCCCAGCTTCCCACCAGACTGGTCAGGGAGAGGCCTGGGACACAAGGCAGAAGGTGATAAATATTGCTAGAGAGGGAAAGAGGATCTCTTGTTGGGCGTATTTTAGCTGGGCTGTGAGTAATAGACACGAGAATGACAACGGTAGCCACAATTTACTGAATCCTTGCTGGGCACTGGCTGTCCTGCCGAATGAGTTACAGATCTTACCTGGTGTATTTTTGAAAGTTTTAAATAGCTTTACTGGGATACAGTTCACACACTGTAAAATTTACTCACTTAAAGTATATGATTTCCCGGGGCACCTGGGTGGCTTAGTCGGTTAAATGTCCGACTGTGGCTTAGCTCATGATCTTGCACTTTGTGAGTTCAAGCCCCACATCAGGCTCTGTGATGACAGCTCAGAGCCTGGATCCTGCTTCAGATTCTGTGTCTCCCTCTCTCCATGCCCCTCCTCCGCTTGTATTCTCTCTCAAAAATAAATAAACTTAAAAAAAAAGTATGCAATTCCATGGCTTTTAGTGTATTCACAGAGCTATGTATCTATCACTGCAATCAATTTTAGAATATTTTCATTATTCTAGAAAGAAACCCTGTACCCCCTAGCCCCTTGGAACCACAAGTCTGCTTTCTGTCTCTATGAATTTGCCTATTTTGAATACTTTATGTAAATGGAATCATATAATGTATGATGCTTTATGATTGGCTTTGTCCACTTAGTATCATGTTTTCAAGGTTCATCCCTGATGGAACATGTATCCCTATTTGTTTCCTTTTTTATTTATTTATTAAAAATTTTTTAATGTTTATTTGTTTTTGAGAGAGACAGCATGAGCAGGGGAAGGGCAGAGAGAGAGGGAGACACAGACTCCGAAGCAGGTTCCAGGCTCTGAGCTGCCAGCACAGACCCCGATGTGGGCTCGAACCCACAAACTGAGATCACGACCTGAGCAAAGTCAGATGTTCAACCAACTGAGCCCCCCGGGCACCCCCTTCTTTCCTTTTTATGGCTGATTAATATTCTATTGTATGGCTGCATCACATTGTTTTTATCCATTCACCAGTTAACATTTGTTTTTTTTCCATTTTTTTGGCAATTATTAAGAATGCTACTCTGAGCATCATGTTCAAGTTTTTATGTGGTTGCATATTTAATCTTTAATCCCACAGCCACCTTCTGGGATAGGCAGTAATCTTTACCCCCATTTTGCCCATGAAAAAAAGCCCCTGAGCTCTGAAGTAACTTGTGCCAGGACACATTGCTCCTCAGTTATGGAACCGGGTCCTGGAGCCAGGGCCTGCCAACCATCTTTAATGGTCACAAGACGTTAAGTTACACAGAAGCTTCGTTGTACTCATTACTCTATCCACAGCGTCGAGCACAGGCTGTAGTTGGCCCGCGACAAATATAAGTTGAAGGAGTGAATGAATCCTGATCTGTGTTCTTGGAATGAAAGGGTCACACTAGCCCTGGGTCAGCCTTGCGCCTGTGGCTGCTTGTCTGGGGACCTTTAGGGCAAACTGGTCTAAATTCTGACCCCTGAACAAAATAAGCTCAGATTGCTCTGCCTCTTCTTGCCCCTGAACCTGGGTTGGGACCCCAGAAGGCAGCATTTGGTTTTTCCCCTCATTCTTGAAGGCCTGTACAACCCCAGCTTTTATCAGATATTGGGCAGATGTGGCCCCCTTTCACTAGATCTGTCCCAGAAGGAACCTGCAGGGGGAGGTGGCCCAGTTATCCACCACCCTCTCCCGTGTGCAGTAGCTAAACCCCTGACCTCTTTGCTTTGTGCCTGCCATTCTCCCCTGTAGAAAACACGTTCTTGGCCTGGATGTTAAAGTTGGATGTGGAAGGGTAAAGAAACCAGAAGCACATTTAACCTCTACCCTCGTTTTCTATTTTCTCTTCTCTGTCTAGGGTCTGCAAGTGGATGATGAGATTGTGGAGTTTGGCTCTGTGAACACCCAAAACTTCCAGTCTCTGCATAACATTGGCAACGTGGTGCAACACAGTGAGGGGGTGAGTTGGAAGTCACATCCGGTCAGTAACCCTGGAATCGCTAGGGCCAGGAATCGTCGCTGGGGTCTTTACTGCCTTCAGAGAGATGTTGCTCAGGCCCAGCGCCTTTGCACTTGCTGGAGTGTTTTTTTCTCCCTTAGGCCCATCCCTCATCTTGTACAGATGACACCTGTATAAGACCTTTGCAGCCACCCTATGTAAATACCCCTTCCTCCTTCCTATCCCTGCTTTCATTCAGCAGTGTTTCTTGGAAGTCTTTTCATTTCCACACACCTTGCTGTTTTACACTGTTGCACAGCAGTCCGTTGTGTGAGTGGACTCCAGTTTGTCCACCCCCTGCCTTATCAGTGGACATTTTGGTGATTGCCGGTTTTTTACCAGCACGAACGGTCATACATTCTTGTTCATGTGCTATTTCTTGACATTGATACCGGAAAGTACTTACAGGCTCTCAGTGTATTATACACAGTTACAGTAGATAATCTGAAGAAGTTTTACTAATTTGTACCCTGATCAGCAGTGCCTGAGAGCATCACGTCATCAACAGAACTCTCTATTACTTTTAACGTTTTTGCGAAAGTGGCATCTTATTTTCATTTGTATTTTCCTGGTTACCAGTGAGGTTGAGTGTCCTTATTTTTTACGTGAATTAATGGTCATATTTTGATTTCTGTGGATTGTTTATATATTTTTTTCTCACTGGGGTATTCGTCCCTTTAAAAAAGTGATTTGTAGGAATTTTTTTTTTTTTAATTTTTTTTTTAACGTTTATTTATTTTTGAGATAGAGACAGAGCATGAACGGGGGAGGGTCAGAGAGAGAGCGAGACACAGAATCTGAAACAGGCTCCGGGCTCTGAGCAGTCAGCACAGAGCCCGACGCGGGGCTCGAACTCATGGACAGTGAGATTGTGACCTGAGCCGAAGTCGGATGCTTAACCAACTGAGCCACCCAGGCGCCCCAGGAATTTTTTTAACATAACAGATATTAAACCTTTGCCTGTTTTCACATTACATATGTTTCTCCTGTTAGCTCCTGGTCTTTTAACTTAGTTTATGGTGATTTTGATTACTGGAAAGTGTTTTTTTTCTTTAATTTACAGGGGTAAATTAAACAGGGTTTGTGTTTTCTGTACTTGCTCAGTGACCACTTGTCTAGTTTGTTAGCTTTTCATTTTGGTGCCGTCTCTTTCCGTACCGTCTCCTTCCGTTCTATTTGTCCTGTGGTCGTGTCCCTCTGCTGTCCCTTTGCTGTCCTGTCTTGCCAGTGAGGCTCCTGGAAGTGGTGCAGGTGTAGTTTCATTCTGTTATGTTTACCCAGAGTCTCTCTTGATCTTTCACTCCTTTTCCCTGGAGTTTCCTCGTGTTATGGTTTACTCATGTCTCTTGCACACCTTGGTGCACATACTTCAAAACTTGCAGGTGTCTGGGATCATTGTTACTGGTTTGTTTTGTAAATATGCCTTTTTTTTTTCTCGAAGAGGTAATACATAACCTGAGTTTAAGGCAGAACCAAAGAACACATGATGGAGAATCTCCCTCTCCTCCGGAAGTAGCCACTTTCCAGCTGTGTGTCCTTCCAGGGTCAGTCTGTTCATATACCAGCATATAGAGCTCCTGGTTATCTTGATTAAGGTGTAATTTACCTACAGCCAAATTTACCCTTTTCATTGTGCGGTGCTGTGAGTTTTGACACACGTACCTAGTTTGGTAACTGCCGCCGTAATGAAGATACAGAGCAATTCTGTCATCCTCCCCGAAACGGCCCCATGTCCTTTGGTGACGAACCCCTCCCCCAGCCCCCACCCCACGCAACCGCTCAGCTGTGCTCCAGCCCTGTAGTTTCACCCTTTCTAGAATGGCTTGTCAATGGAACTGCCCAGTATATAGGGCCCTTTAAGTCTGGCTTCTTCTCACTCTGCATCATGCGTCTGTGATTCATTCATTCATACGCCGTCGTGCGTGCGTGTAGTCACTCCTGTTTGTTGCTCAGTAGTGCTGCACCGTGTAGGTGAACGCCAGATTGCCTACCCATTTACCAGTGAGGGACATTTAGGTTGTTTCCAATTTTGGTGATTAGTGATAACAGCTACTGGTTTTGAGTCTGTCTTTTCTAGTTAAATATATTCTTAAGCTCTTCATAGATCTGTGAGCCCCCCCCCCTTTTTTCTTCTTTACTGAGGTATGATCGACATATAACATTATATTAGTTTTGGGTATACAGCGTAATGATTCCATTTTTGTATATGTTTCAAAATGATCATCATAAGTGTAGTTAACATCCATCACCATAGTTATATATTTTTTTCTTGTGATGAGAACTTTTAAGATTTACTCTCATAGCAACTTTCAAATATGCTATACAACATTACTATGTACTGTAATGCACAGCATGTTGACTATAGTTAATAACGCTATAAATCCTTCCTTACAAAAGTAGTCATTGAACATTTTTAAGCGACAGAACCTTTTCTTCAAATGAAATTTCTCGGGGAATTCCAATATATCAAATAGATAAAAAACGCTGAGCTGCTGGGGTTGGAACACCTCACCCCCCTCAGGGCCCTGGATCCTCCTGGAACCAGAATCCCGACGTGAGAATCAAGGGTCCACTCTGTGTCCGTAGAAAAATGATGAAGAAACCAAAAAAACACTATATTCTGTTATTAGACATTTAGGTGGTTTCCAATTTTAGGGAAACCTAGAAATGAACACTCTTGTAGACCAATCTCTATCTCTGTTTCTTTTGATAACTTCCTAAAGCTGCCTTTCTGGATCAAATGCATGTATTTTCAAAGGAAAACAAATCTGAAATTTAAAAAAAAAGTCATCTTTAGTATAAACAACGTTTATTTTATTGAGCTGTGGAAAGGAATGGAGTGCTGGCCTGCTGTAATATGGATGAACCTTGAAAGGATTTGTGGTAAGTGAAAGAAGCCAGGCACAGAGGGCTGCGTATCTGAGAATTCCATTTATGTGAAGTGTCCAGAACAGGCAGATGGACGGAGACAGGAAGCCGGTTGGTGGTTGCCAGAGGCTGAGTGGAGGAGGGCATCGGGAGAGACTGCTAATAGGTACTGGGGTCCTTTTGAGGGATGAAAATGTCTTGGAATTGATAGTGGGAGTGGTTGTACGAATCTCTGAATATACTAAAATGCACTGTATTGTATACTTTGAAATGCATTTTATGGTATATGAATTATATCTCACATAAATAAAAACAATGCACTTAAAAATTTTTTTTTTAAAGTTTATTTATTTATTTATTTATTTTAACTTTTTTTTTTTTTTCCAACGTTTATTTATTTTTGGGACAGAGAGAGACAGAGCATGAACGGGGGAGGGGCAGAGAGAGAGGGAGACACAGAATCGGAAACAGGCTCCAGGCTCTGAGCCATCAGCCCAGAGCCCGACGCGGGGCTCGAACTCACGGACCGTGAGATCGTAACCTGGCTGAAGTGGGACGCTTAACCGACTGCGCCACCCAGGCGCCCCTAAAGTTTATTTATTTTTGACAAAGAGAGCGAGTGTGAGCTAGGGAGGGGCGGAGAGAGAGGGAGACACGAATCTGAAGCAGGCTCCAGGCGCCAAACTGTCAGCACAGAGCCCGACGTGGGGCCTGAACCCACGAATCGTGAGATCATGACCTGGGCCAAAGTCGGACGCTTAACCGACTGAGCCACCCAGGCGCCCCAAAAATAATGCACTTTTAATGCAAAAGGTTTTGAGGAAAGGATAAAAGTCCTGAGTCTCTCCCTCCCGAGGACCCTCCCTGCTCTGTTTGAGTGCTGGACAAGGTGCGGGTGCTAAAGCGGGAACAACAAAGGTAAACAGAAGGCTCTTGCCTCGGGGACGCTTTGGTGGGAGAGACCAGCATTAATCCAAGGTAATTCTATACTGTCATGAGTATTATGAAGGAAAAGATTGAGGAGGCTGGGAGAGCAACGACGGGGGTTAGGATAAGGTTCCCGAGGACGTGACCTGTGAGTGTTAGAAGTTGTTCAAGGCTAGAGACTGGCGGGGAGAGGAGTTTTCCAGCAGGGTCATGGCCCTGAGGTGGGAGGGCTGGAGGAGATGGTTGGAGACCAGAGCAAGGGGGAGAGAGGAAGGGAGGAGGAGGCAGGTCTGGGAGGTTGGCAGGGGCCAGAATGCATGAGGCCCTGTGGTCCCTAGTCAAGATGTAGTTCTTTTTTCCTGAGGAGCAGTAGAGAGCCATACGCACACTTGCAAGCTGAGAGGAACAGATGTAAGCAGCTTTGTGTCTTAGAAAGATTTCTCCAGATGCTAGGTAGAGAGCTGATTGGAGGGCTGACAGTCTTAGCAGCCTGGTCAAGAGGTGATGGTGGCTTTGGTGAATGGGCTGGAGGTGGAAGGAAGTGGACAAATCTAGGAGACCTTTAGGATGGAAGTACATAGGCTTTAATATGACACCTAGCCCATGTCAAGGATGACCTCTGGGTTTCTAGTTTGTCTAGGGGTATTGTTTCTAGAACCAAAGCACTCAGTGTATCTCTCATATATTTCCTAAGTGCGAATGAATATGTCCATAGTGATTGCTTTTTGAAAAAGAAGACGGGCACCTGGGTGGCTCAGTCGGTTATGTGTCCGACTTCGGTTCAGGTCATGATCCGATTCGGTTCGGTCCAGGCACAAAGCCTGGAGCCTGCTTTGGATTCTGTGTCTCCCTCTCTCTGCCCCTCTCCTTCCCCTCCCCTCTCAAAAATAAACATGAAAAAAAGATTTAGAAAAAGAAGACAAACAAGACCTACCGTACATACTGTTCTGGATTTCCCCCTACCCTTTGAGGGGATTTCCGTGTGGGTACGTACCTACCTTCACCATATTCCATTGCTTGGTCTACCACCTTTTATTTGACCATCCCTCCACACAGAACATTTAGGTTGTTCCCAGGGTTTCACCATCAGCAACAATGGTGTCGTGAATATTCTTGTCTTGTGGGAGGGTTTCTGTCCGAGAGATTTCTAGAAGTGGAATTACTGGGTCAAAGGCAATGCCCATTTATAGATTTCATAGATGTCACAGTGTCCTCCAAAAAGCTTGGATTAGTTCACATTTTCTTGAATAGTGTATGTGAGGGCTTGCTTCTTGACCCCTCTCCCCTGTGTTATTTATTGGCAGTCTCATTCTTTGACCATCTGAGTGAAAAATGGCATCTTTTTGGTTTTTGTCTTCATGCTCTATTTTGTCACATTTCAGAGATTACATTGATAGATCTGCCCTAATTTAAAAAAATTGTGGTAAAATATACATACCATAAAATTTACCATTTTAACCATTTCTTTTTTTTTTTTAATACTATTTTTGGGGAGAGTGCAAGCGGGGGAGAGACAGAGGGAGGGGAACAGAGGATCTGAAGCAGACTCTGTGCTGACAGGCTGACAGCAGTGAGCCCGATGTGGGGCTCTAACTCAGGAACCGTGAGATCATGACCTGGGCCAAAGTCGGACACTCAACCCATTTTAACCATTTCTAAGTGCGCAGCTCTCTGGCATTTAAGTACATCCGTGTTGTTCTGCAGCCATCCCCTCCATCCATCTCCAGAACTGTTTCATCTTTCCAAACCGAAACTCTATACCTGTTAAACACTAACTTTCCATTCTCCTCTCCCCACGCCTCTGGTGATCACTAATCTGCTTTCTGTCTCTATGCCTCTGCACCTATCAGTGGAACCAGACGATATTTCTTCTTTTGTGGCTGGTGGATTTCACTTAGCATCATGTCTTCATGGTCCACCCATATTGTTGTTGTGTGTGTCAGAATTTCCTTACTCTTTAAGGCTGAATGAAACTGTATTGTACGGATAGACCACATTTTCTTTATTCCTTCAACACCTGTATCTCGTGGATAAATGCCTAGTAGTGCAATTGCTGGGTCATAGGGTAGTTCTACTTTTAGTTTTTCGAGGAACCTCCATACGGTTTTCCAGAGTGGCTGCACCCGCTTGCATTCCCATGATGTAGTAATTCTACTTCCAGTTTTCTGAGGAACAGTCACCCTGTTTTCCACGGCAGCGACACCATTTTACATTCTCTTGCAGCTGTGCACACGGGTTTCGATTTTTCCACATCCTCACCAACTCTTGTCATTTTCTGGTTTTGGATAGTAGCCATCCTAATGGATGTGCAGTGACACCTCATTGTGGTTTTGATTTGCATTTGTTTAATGATTAGTGACGTGGAGCATCTTTTCATGTGCCCTTTGGCCATTTGTTTATCTTTTTTTGGAGAAATGTCTACTCAGGTTTTTTTGCTTAATTTTTAATCAGGTTGTTTGCTGTTATTGTGAGTTGTAGGAGTCCTTTGTTTATTCTGGATATTAATCCCTTATCAGATATATGATGTGCCAGTATTTTCTCCCATTCTGTGAGTTACTTTTGACTCTGTCAGTAGTGTCCTTTGATGCACAAAAGTTCTAGATTTTGATGCACTTTGTTGTAATTCGTAAGTTTCCTTGGTATGCTATTTTAATTTTTCACACTAAAGTAATACATACACATAATAAAAACAAATTAATTGAATGGAAAGATATAAAAGCAAATGTCGTCTTTCACTCCAAACTCCTAGTGCTTCTTCTGCAAGTAATTACTGTTAACAGTTTTTTCGTATATCTTCCAGAAACCTTTGTATGCATGAATCAATCTTTATGTCCTTTTAGAACGCATATTGAGGGGCGCCTGGCTGGCTCAGTCCGTAAAGCATGTGACTCTTTATCTCAGGGTCGTGAGTTCGAGCCCCACATTGGGAATGGAGCCTCCTTGAAAAAAATAAAAGTAAAAAAATAAAAAACATGTATTCACATGGGTTCATGTTTTGCTCATTTTGTTTTGTTTTTACCAAAACTGCTTAATTCACTCTGCTGTATTTGAATAATACCTTATTGAGGGATATTTTGGGTGTTTTCAGTTTTTGAATTTATAAACAGTCCTAGAATGAACACTTTGTTCATATATCATCTTGTACTTTTGCAAAATGTATCTTGTAGGCACCTTTTAAAGGTTTTTTTTTTTCGTGGGGAGACGTGTTTGTCCAGGAAGATGGTGCCAATCTGCAGCCCCATTAGCCGCCCCAAGAGTGCCATGTCCCCCACACTCTTGACAACTGCCAGGTTATACTTCATATAAGCACCTTACCAACCTGATGTGCAAAAATCAGTATCTCGGCATTTTAGTCTGAATTTCTTTGGATTCTGAACAGGTTGAATATATGAGCTTATTGTCCTTTCAGAAGCCCCTGAATGTGACCGTGATCCGCAGAGGGGAGAAACACCAGCTTAGACTTGTCCCAACCCGCTGGGCAGGAAAAGGACTGCTGGGGTAAAGTATCATTTCTGTTTATTCATAAGGCAACTGTCGGTTGTCACCTGGGTGTTTGCTGGATATAAAGCTGTGGGGAGGAGGTGGGGGCCACTGGGAAATGATGGCATTCCCCAGATTGCCTGCAGAAACTCTTGATAAATGCTTGTGGCAGGAATGAGATTGCAGATCTGGAGGCAGAGGGAACCCTGGTCTCTCTGGTTCTTTCATTAACTGGGCATTTGCTTTATTTTAATTTTAATTTTTTTTTTTTTAATTTTTTTTTTTTCAACGTTTATT